ATGTTTCTCTTTTATTAGTGTAGAAACTTGCTTAATTAGACCTGCTTTCTGATGTAGCTAAACTTTTTCCAGCCCAATGAAGCACCCCAACTTGTCTTTCAGGTAATTGTCAGCAACACAGCTGACAAATATAACATGAAGAAGATGATTATTGTAGATCACGCAGGGAGAACACAGGGTAAAATATTTAACTGCAGCAGTGTTTGACTATATTCTGCCCAGTGAGAAAACCTGAAGTCATTTTCAAGGTCCACCATTTCTTACTTCTTTTCAGTCGGGTCAAGTTTCTAAGCTTTCTAAATCTCCGTTTTCCAGCTAATGAAAAGAAAATAGGATTCCATCGAGTCTCCTATCTACCTACTCCAGGACTTCTGTGAGGATCAAATGAGATGAGGCATGGGAAAATGCTTCACAGACATTTGGTTAAAGTGTGAAATGTTTGCACCTGGGTATAAAGCAAGTCATGTTCCTGGGCTGAAGAAACTGCAAGGAGGCTAGTTGTCACTAGGGAGAAGAAGCTGGGCGTTGATATGTGATGTCATTACCCAGCGCCCACAGTGCCCATTTCTGGGCTGGGCTGGGCTGTGGGCCGCATTTTGCACCATGGGGTCTCGGCAGCGTTGGCTGAGATTTGGTGGGCTGTCGCTCTGGGGTGGTGGGGCCTGTGTCCCACTTGGGGGAAGCCAAGTGTTGCTTTGTAGGCGCCAGGTCCGTGGTGCCATTGCGCGTCACAGCAGCTCCTGCATTGACGTCTGCCCCCGGTGGTCAGTGTGCACCATAGCAACTGGTCCGATAGTCGGACACTTAGCATATTAGCCTTTTATATATTTCAAAATAACTTTACCAAGGTAGACATTCTGATGATTCCAAGACTTTTTTTTTCCTAATTGCTAAACCGTATTTCTAGTGCTAACCTATTTCTTATAGAAGACTGAAAACCTAAGATACCAACCTTCACATTTACATCACCTTTGGATTGACTGATATTTCAAAATAGATTTCAAATTAGCAAAATGAGAGTTAGTGTACCTCCCAAAGTTTGCTATTATTAGATTCCACTGGTCTAATTCAAGGCAATTCCATCTTTATGGAATAAATAAGTGGAACAACAAATCGATATTTCTCTCTTCCTCTCTGAAAAAAAAATCAATAAATAAAAATTTAAAAAGAAAAAGAAAAAAAACCCCCAAAATCTGTCCTCAGATGAAGATTTTAAAAAATCATCAAAAATAATCAATGAACTTTTTAGTACATCACCTGGATATGAAGAACCTGTAGCTAATGAATACAAGAAATCGTTGCATGAAGGCTGAGTAAACTACTGAGATGACTTCAGGAAAATAACAGAGTACAATCTTAAGTAGATGTGAAAGCCATGAAAACATCGTTTACCTATAACATTATGTGAAAACCAACCTGATCAGACAGGCATGTTCAGTCACTGGGCTATGTTTTAGGGTAGAGCTTAGCCTTGTTAGCAATGAAACAAAATGCACATTAAGTTAGCTTTAAGGTACAATTAGATCCCTATCAAACTAATTAAAATGACAAAATCAATGACAGGATAGCTCAGAGGAAGCAGGTACGCTCTTGGTTGCCCCACAAAGCAGCCCACCATCCCCATCTTTCTGAAAAGCAAATAAACATTAACATGTTAAGCGCCCTGTCAGTCACCGGTGACTGACACTATACTTTCCGTCCCGAAGACAAAACAGGCTGGCCGCTTAACATGTTAAGTGTCATGACCTGCAGAACATCTGGTGACAGACTAAATGCTCTACTCCAGGAATGGGAATCTTTTTTCTGCCAAGGGCCATTTGTATATTTATAACATCATTCGCAGGCCATACAAAATTATCAACTTAAAAATTAGCCTGCTATGTTTGGTCAAACGTTTAATTAACTCACCCCTACTGCCTTGGCAGGGCCAGACCAAATGACATTCCCCATCCCTGCTCTACTCTATCCATTTTGGGGAACATATCTAAAGAAAATAACCCAGAAAGGGAAGAAAAAAAGTAATTTGTACAAAGATTTACAATAGAATACGATGAAAAACTGAGAGAAGCCAAATTCCTAAGAAACTATTTCAGTCAATACACAGAATCCTATATAATAAAAGGCTAATATGCAAACCAACCGAACGGCAGAACGACTGGTCGCTATGACACGTACTGACCACCAGGGGACAGATGTTCAATGCAGGAGCTTCCCCCTGGTGGTCAGTGCACTCCCACAGGAGGAGCGTTGCTCAGCCAGAAGCCCTGAGCTGGGATCATGGCTGGCGAGGTCTAAGCTGTCAGTCGGACATTCCCCAAGGGCTCCCGGACTGCGAGAGGGCGCAGTCCAGACTGAGGGCCCTGCCGCCCAGTGCACGAATTTCATGCACCGGGACTCTAGTGTTTACATAAAATAACAAGTGCAACATGTAGAACACAAGAATAGCTGCATGTGCACCGAAGAGAAACTGTAAGAGCTTATGAATGCATATTAAACAAAGCTACACAATAGCTTACAGTAAATGAAATAGGTGAATTCAGAGTTCATTCAATTCTTTTCTTTTGCAAAGATGACTATTTCTAATTTTAAAAGGCAGGGTGGTTTTAGAAGACAGAAGTAGAAATAACCTCCCTCCCTGGTACACCAAAAACACCCACAAAAGCCAACATTTCCAAAATTCCATTGAACAAAAATAGTAACAATTTTGGCCAAATGTTTACATCCTTACCTGTTTGCAGACCAAGTTTGATTAAAGATAGAGGTGTCACTGAAGGAATTGCAGAGGATGAGGGAATGGACTCTGGGGGATTTGTGAGTGTATTCAGCAAATTTCTGGGCCAAAAAGCCTCCCAAGGAAGCCCCAAAAAGATGAACCTAATTGTAAACAAGCACAAGGAGGATCTTACAACAATGATTAATCCTGAACATAAATACAAAAAACAACAACACATTTTTAACTGTCACCAACCGCAGAAGAGAATGTCACTACTAGACAACAGACTAAACTATCTATTGCAGTTAGAATTTTAGGAAATATTGTATTTAAATGCAATTTATGCACCCCTTGAAAAACAATACAACTGTGCATACAAATCATACAACTTAAAGAAATACTCTTCACAGATTACATTAGAAAATGAAACCACTGGCAGTTTCTGTTTAAGAAAACTATGATTCAGGCCCAAAGTGTTGTGGCTCAGTGGTTAAGCACAGACCAGTGATGGCGAATCTTTTGAGCTCAGCGAGTCAGCATTTTGAAAAACCCTAACTTAACTCTGGTGCCGTGTCACATATAGAAATTTTTTGATATTTGCAACCATAGTAAGACAAAGACTTATATTTTTGATATTGATTTTATATATTTAAATGCCATTTAACAAAGAAAAATCAACCAAAAAAATGAGTTCGCCTGTCACCTCTGACACGCATGTCATAGGTTCGCCATCACTGGCATAGACCCATGAACCAAGAGTTCACCAATTCGATTTCCAGTCAGAGTACATGCCAGGGTTGTGGGCTCGATCCCCAATAGGGGGTGTGCAGGAGGCAGCTGATCGATGATGTTTCTCTCTCATCAATGTTTCTATCTTTCTATCCCTCTCTCTTCCTCTCTCTAAATATCAATAAAAACATATTTTTAAAAAAACCCAAACACTATGATTCAGTAATTCCACTCTGAAAACCTGTCCACACCAAAACTTGTACATGAATGTTCACAGCAGCATTATTTATAATAGCCAAATATTCTGGAAATAGTCCAAATGTACACCAACTAACGAATGGATAAACAAAATGTGCTATATTCATAAATGGGATATTATTTGACAATAAAAAGAAATGAAGTACTGCTACATCTACAACATGGATGAACTTCAAACACTTTATGCTAAGCTAAAGAAGCCAGTCAGAAAAGACCACATATTGTATGATTTCACTTATACAAAACATCCAGAACAGCAAATCCATAGAGACAGAAAGTAGAGTCGCTTGCCAGGGTTAGGGGGAGGGTGAGTGAGTAGTGACTGCTGAGTATGGGGTTTCTTGTTGGAGTGAAAAAAGTGTTCTAAAATCGACTGTGATGATGACTGCAGATATCTGTAAATATGCTAAAAATCTTTGAATTATAGACTTGAAAAGGGGTACACTGTATAGTATGTGACTTTTATCTCAAAAGAGATTTTATTTAAAAAATAAGAGAAAAACAACACCAGGCTTTATAATGCAAATGTTGCATTTAAAGTCACACACAAGTAATTAGTTTCATGGTACTCACTTTATCCAATTGTAAATGGTCTAAAAGCTTTCTGAATCCATCACAGAATTCAAGATGGTCCCAATAAACTGGATATTGCAACTGAAATAATAAAAAAATTAATTTATTTTTAATGAACTAAGCTATTTTTATTTTTTAAACTCATATTATCTGAAAAATTTAGGACTCTCGTAATAGCATTTCTCAGTTGCTCAAGCTTTGCTCCTTATTCAAAATATGTAAATATGTTTCTCACCTTTTCCTAAACTTCAAAATTCACATTTTATCTAACAGACCAATTTTAAGAAGAATAAAAAGTAAGCACATTCTAGTGATATTATGTGAATAACAATTTCAACTCACATCAACTTCCTTTCCAAATAG